CCCCAAAACCCCAAAACCCCAAAACCCCTAAAATCAAAGATTATGAATTTTGATCAATAAAAGTTTTTAAGAAGAATTTAAAGTTGAATAATATTTAATAAAAATTAAATTTCTGGGTGCTTTTAAATGATGTCAGAAACCTCGCTTCTATTTCTTGACTTATAGTATGCTTAATTATCAAAGTTTATGATTATAGACCATTAATTCAACGAATAGGGTTATATACCTAAATGAATGATTCTGATTACTAAAAATTGAAAGACCTTTACTCTAGATAGACTAATTTCTCCAGATAATATTTCACCTCAAATACTACCGTAAAAGAATTCAGAGATATTTTAGAGCAAAGAACTGGTAATTACTTTTATATTTCCCATAAATCCATACCCACATACTTATCATCACTAAACTATATACAGCTAATCAAACTAATAACAATACTTCAACTCCTTAAGACTAGCAAGCTTAAAACCAAACAGTTAATGTGACGAAGCATAACTAGGAATTAGATCAGACACTGCTCATCATAAGCAGCGTAATAATCCTTATGGTCTCTCTATACATCTTGTATTGCCTGTTTAAGAATAGGATTAAGAGAAGGGGTACAGGTGCATATGGTTCTAGATCCTCCAAAAAGGTTTCATAAGGGGTATTCTATAAAAGATGCTTCCTGATTGGATTATTTGTTACAAATATGTGTAAGAATTTCTATTTTGATAATAATTTTATAGCAAGGGCAGTAACTTTGATATACGATGTGATAACCTCTGTTTCAATGGGGTATAACTATTATGAGTCATAGAGCATTTTAGCATCACAAGTTTTTATGAATGTACCCACACTACTGCAAATGAGTACTTTTACAGTCTTTATTTACTACTTCGCCACTCTGGCTTTGCAATTTGAGCAATAGAAGTACAAAAATGGAGTAATGGGTTTCGATGATTTTAACAAAGATAACATTGATGAAAAGAGAATACTACTACTAAGTGGATAGTATCATAGAACCATAACTTAATAAAAGAGACAAAATTTACCCAACCTCATGAAGATATTCTTTATTGGCTTCAATGTTTTTACTTTCTTGGCATATTTCACGATTAGTACTTACTGTAAGTTAATCTAATTAAATTTCCCTTGTTATAGATGTGAATAAAGTAGTTTCGATTGGATAAGATCCATTTAAAAACTCAACATCCTAGTACCCATCATAAATCTTGGATGAATAGTAGTATCGTGATTACCTTAACAATCAATTAAATGGGACATCAGCGACCAATTCTACCAGTTCAGATCCTACTAGAAAGATTCAAATCAGAGAAGAGCATCCCTCAAACCTGCCTTAATACAATAGAGCTTTAAGTGGGTTGAATGGCTTAATGTTCTTAATGCTTGCACTAGCTGTTTTAAATTATGGTTCAAGGTTAGAGACTTTAATCACTCAGACTAAGTTGAAAAACAGTGGTTAAAATGGTGGTAATGATGATTCATCTAAAAAGGATAGAAGAATCCTAGAGAATACGGAAGACAATGCTATCCTCTTAAAAGGTTTGAACGAGTAGAGTAAGCGAATCTTGCGAGGCCTAGACTAAAGAATATTCCTGATGACTATCTGCCTGAGTATGTTGTTCTTTGTGATTTCCATTTGTGAATTCCTAGCAGCCTGGGACGTGATTAAGATTTCCGACGCGAGGTGGAAATCTCTAGTTTTCATTGTTTTTACAGAAACTTTCCCCACAGTTACTCTCGCACACTTCATGACAAAATAATTGAAAAAGAAAAAAGGGACAGTTCACAGGAGTGCAAAAATAAACTAATAATCAGATAGAAATAGAAGTAATGGAAATAGCTAGCAGATAAAGTTAAATTAGGATAGTTCAACTAAGAAGAGCAAACTGAATGGACTTGATATAAGATAAAGCGAAACAGAGGAGAACAGTGGATTCCAAGAGGACGATGAAATGGATGATTTATTAGACATTAATTCCTCTGATGAGGAGGCTGGTCACAGGAATAAATCTAGCAGTGGTGGACTCAATGGTCTAGATGACTCATTTGGAAGTTTCAATCCTAATCTTAATGCAAAAAGAGATCAATTATAGACCAACAATCCTAAAAGTTAGAAAGACTAGGAAGATGATGAGGATGAAGAAAGTGAAGAAAGTAATTATAGCCAAGAAAACTAAAATTCTAACAGTAGATAGAGTCCTAATCTTGCTTTTGGTAATCATAGAAAAAATTAAAATTCAAAATTAGTGTGATTGTTTAAAATGGCATTAATAAGTGTTTTGATTAAATGAAATACCTTAAATTTACTTCAAAAGGATAAATGGGGTTTTGGGGTTTTGGGGTTTTGGGGTTTTGGGG